TTCACATTCCCCGAGTGAAAACTTTTCACCTGCAGTTACTACTGGAATCACTACACAGAAACATAGAAACTGGGAGCAGGAATAAGCTATTCAGGCCTTTTGAGCCTCCTCAGTCATTCAATTTGATAATGCCTAATCCCACATCTTGCTGCCATATTCCTACTTTCTCCCCACCTCTTGATGCCTTTAAAATCTAAAAAATTGTCAATACTTTTTTTCCTTGATGTAATTATCTTATTACATAACTACCTTACATCTATGGACCCAATCTTTGGACTTAATGAAATGGAATGTTTTCTTTATTTTATGGGTCTCTTAACAGGTCATTTCTCTGCCTTTTCTAGGGAAGAGTCCTAGCCTGTTCAGATTTTTCTGGTGGCTATGGGAAAGATTTTGACATACTCAGATGCCAGAGAAAGGAGAAATTGTAGGAGAAACAAATAAGAAGAAATAGAAAAACAGATCATATACTTGAAGTGTCTATAGAAAGAGGAAAAAAAAACAAAATTGAATGCTGGCTCCTGTAAGGATGAAACTAGGGAATTGATAATGAGGAATAAGGCAATGGCAAATGCAATGTTGGCTTTTTGGCAAAGGGCAGCTGGAATATTAAAATTAAGTAAATTTTGCTGTGATTACATAGGATATTCACAAGATTGCACTTCGGATACAGTGCACGGTTCTGGTCTCCTTAATTGAGGAGGGATACACTTGGATTGAAAGCAATTTCGAGAAGGTTCACTGAGGAGGGTTGTACAGGTTGGGCGCAGAGTCTTTAAGAGTTTAGAAGAATGAGAGGTGACCTAATGATTCTGACAACGCTGAGAGGCAGTTTCCTTTCACGGGGGTATCCAGAATTAGGTGATAGTTTGAAACTAAGGGGTCTCCCAATTTAAGATGAAGAAGAGAAGGCGTTTCTTCTGCCAGAGGGTAATTGTTAATTCACAAAGAAGTGGAGACTGGATCATTCAATGTATTCAAAGTTAGACAGATTTTGATTGACAAGTGAGTCAAGTGTTATTTGGGCAGGAAGGGAAGTAAATTATGATATAATCATATCAGCCATAATCTTAGTAAAGAGTGGGGTTAGGAAATTCTTGGTCAAATGGCCCACTCCTATTCCAATTTCTTATTATCTTATGTTGGTTTGATATCACCTCTTGGTTCTGGTGTTACCTTTGTAAAATTTATTCACCAGTTATTCCAGTGCTTCGATAACCTGAATTGTATTCTGAAGAACCAAACTGCACACAGTGTTGAAGAGAGCAGAAATAGTAGCGCTTCCACTGTATAAACATTTAAAGCAATTCGGGCTACTTTTTTTGGGGTGGGGTGCAGGGGGAATCATTGCCTCCAAGCGGTTTCTAAACCTCATCTGACACCAGACATGGACTCCCTGCTGTGCATAATCCATCTGATGTGTTTTCTTCCCAGTGTCTCATGCAGTCTCTAGTTAGGAATTATACTAAAACTTTGTCACTGTGAATGGGAGGTCACTTTGAATCAACACGGAGCTACACCATGTGGCTTCGAAGGAGCACAAGTAAGCTGTAAACATGTCTGTCCAGTAAGTGGAGGATTTGGCCGAGTACAGATCTTACAGTTGATTAGCTGAACATATCCGATAGAATCAGCGGCTTCTCAATGTAAGCCTACGCGAGCCAAGAATAGTAGGTCATTGGCAGTAACGAGAGAGCAGTTTTCAAATTCACACAGATGTCATAAATACAATTTCAAACTGAAAGCAGCATGTCAGGTGAACCTTGAAATGAAATCAAGACCCCATGACTGGCTGAAAGTAACTTCTCTAGTAGACTGCCTGACCCCATCATGGGTTAGTCCAGACTAAAAGTTATCCAAGGTGATGGAATACAGAATTATTCACCACCTTCCACATAACATGGAACAAACAGCATGAAACAGTAGGAGCAAAAAGAACTGTCAGCCTACAACAGGAAGGAGCACGCCATCCAAATATTAGCCCTAAACTACAGTGTGCTGTTATGATATGTTAATTAACTGAGTGTGCAAAGTTGTGGCCAGTTGTCAAACTCATCTTTGAACTCCACAATACAAATACTTCCTTTCACAGAATAACGAGGCAAAGAACCTAACAGTACAATAGTCACGAATCCAGAAACTTGCAGTTAAGATTAGCTTTTGTTGTGTGGTTTACATTGAGGCTGCACAATATTATGGGCATGAAGTGCTGGTTCCAAGCACAGGATCCTCTCTCAGATAACATCAGCCTGTTAGCTTTGCTTATACACAGAATAAAAGCCACCTGAGGCTTTTTCATGAGGTTGATTTTGGAACAACTTTGACTGAAGCATATGGAACCAATTCAGCCATTTTAAAATCCTAACTATGCCACTAGAATGTCAAAAGGCATAAATAAGTGGAGGTAAGCAAATGGTCTCCAGGTGGCAATCAACACAGGCTACAGATAAGATTCCAGAATTGGGAACCTCAGCGTCCTTTAAAGTCCAATTGATTAGGCAAATATGATTCAATTGATCAGCCAGACCACTTGATAACAATTGTAGATTTAGAAAAGTTTTGGAAGGGGCCCTGTTGTGCTGCATTGGCAGTGCCTCTGCCCCTGGACTGGGATGCTTGGGTTCAAGTCCCATCTGCTTCAGAAGTGTGTAACAGCATCTGTGAATAGGTTGATTAGAAAAAAATAGGATGAATAAAAATGGAAAAGTTTTGGAGGGGTGGTGATGTCCCTCCTCTGGAACAAAGGCATGGGTTCAAGTCTCACCTACTCCAGAGGTGTGTCATAACATGTCTGAACAGGTTGATTCAAAATATCTAGAAAAGGTTTGGACAACTGAGCCATTCTTTTGCTTATAGTAACTGAAACCGCAAACCCAGCCTCAACCTAAAGTCTAACATGAGCTAACTATGGTTTAAACAATTAACCACACTTGCCCCAGTCTCCAACGCTCCTCCTCAACCAAACTGAAGATCTTCTTTCCTGTTTCTCCAGTTTGTTGCCTCAACTTCTCATTCAGATACTTTCACTCTCACATAGAACATTACAGCGCAGTACAGGCCCTTCGGCCCTCGATGTTGCGCCGACCTGTGAAACCAATCTGAAGCCCATCTAACCTAAACTATTCCATTATCATCCATATGTTTATCCAGTGACCATTTAAATGCCCTTAAAATTGCCGAGTCTACTACTTTTGCAAAATGCTCTGCAGTTTCCCTGTGATGGGGCCTGCCTTCTAAACATATCTTGGTGACTGATAACAAAAGATACAATAACGTTATAAACTATACCGAGGGCACACACTGCTGGCTACCCAAATATGAGGAACTCCTCCGCAAGTACAAAAGTTTCTGGGGATCCAGATGTTATACCCCAAAGGATAACTGCAATTGTATACAATTCAAGTCCCATGTTTTTATGTTAGAGCTTTATTTCAGTTAAACACACTGCATAAAATTCTCACCCCACTGATTTGTAACTTACCATATTTATGCAACAAACTCACACCCAATTAACTTTTAATTACTATATCCATTAAATGTTCCTTCATTCCATTCGGTCGCTGGTATTCCTTCAGACCATATTAAGTGATAATAGATGCTGCCTTGAGCTCTTGGAATCTATGGATATAGCTGGGTTTCTTGTGGTGTAGTGGTATTGTCCCTATCTCTGAATCAGGAGACCTGGGTTCAAGTCTCACCTTCCTGAGAAGTCTGTAATAACATCTTCTAACAGGCTGATTAGAAAGTAGCTCTGGACATAGCTTGAAGACAAAGGTGGCAGGAGACTGTGGATGCACTCACTCAGTCAAGGACAAAGGCTATTGGATACTATTCAGAAGCTGCTTAGAGCTGCTTTATCTGCTCACAGTGACCTTGTCATCAGTGAATGCTGTTGTTTTCAGGCTGCTCAACTCTAAGCTCAACATGAAAATCTGAAGGAACGCTCCAAGACCATCTCATCATCTCCTGTCATTTCCTTGTTTTCTTCTCCATGCACTAGAGCTGACACTGGTCTTTCCTCCAACAGGGCAAAGAATTGTAAGCCTCCATCCTTAATGTGAAACCTACTGGGTGTGATTGGTTGACTTCTTTCTTTACTAAAATCTGTGCAAGTGGCTTCACTCACTAAACTGGAAATAGACTAAAATCACCACCACCCTCAAGCTGGAGAAACATGCGATGACACAGCTGGTCCCATATTTTGTCCCATATCTCAGTTGAGTACCTCTTAAAATTTCACCAGGCTGTCCCCACTGGAAAGTCCTATTCCCCCCCAAAAAACAAGCCAGTTTTAGATCTGGCAGGGTACTGTGTTGACAAAGTGTTTGCAATCACCAGCCACACTGAGATTGGTTCCAAATGCATGTTAATATCAGGTGCAGCACACATCAACTTCCCATATGTCACTGTGTGGCAACATAGTCTTCTGTTGAAAGCTTTTGACTTTTCAGACACCTGACCTCAATGTGGAACCTTTGTTCTAGGCTTAGCAACAAAGACGCAAGGTTTCACTTGGAGACCAAACAAGAGAGGGGAGGTGGGGCATGGTGGTGTCATTGGACCAGCAACCAGAATCCCAGGTTCATAGGCGAGTACAGCTGTTCACAGTATTTAAATTCAATTGATAATCTGGAATATAAAGCTAGTCTCGGTAATGTTGACCATAGCAGCTATTATCAGTTATTTAAAAAAAAACCCGTCTGATTCACTAAATGTCGTCTGGCCTACATGTGGCTCTAGACCCACACCAATGTGGTTGATTCTGAATTTCCTCAAATGACCTGCAAACCAAGGGCAGCTAGGAATGAGCAACAGATGCTGATCTGGTCTGTGAAACCCAAATTCAGTGAATGAATACAGAAAGAAAATGTTCCTTGAAACCCCTGAATGATGGAATAAGTTGCGAACGTCTGACTTCAGTGATATCCTTGAATTTCTTTTAAGTTTGCCTGTAACTATTTAAATTACTAATGCTGCCTGTGTGCTTTCTTCCTCTGCAGTATTTTATGCCTATCTATGTTTGCCTGGCACTGGTCCACATTTAGTCTGCTCAGACCTTCCAAACAAAAAGGTTTGGCATCACGTACAAGATTTTGTCTTTGGAGTCAGGACTCACTCACAGGAAGTCATTTTCTCCAAAAATACCAAGCAGTCTGGATTTCCCCTTCTAAATCTGTGTCGGCTACTACTATTTAAAGAATTATTTAAGAACTATGATTTTATCTTGATAACTAACTCCATGATTTTGTCTGGAATGACATTAAACTGATGGTTTAAACTAAATAAACTAATCTCCTGGGTTAATTTTTTCACCTTCTTTGAAAATGGATATCAGGGCAGCCAACATCCAATCAAGCAGGAGGTGATCAGCTTTCATCTCTTACAAAAGCAACACATTACTAATTTCATTCTTGGTCTCATTTATTCCCCAAGGATAACACCATCCATCACAACAGGGTAAATTGTTTTCAACACCTGTTTAGTCTGTCTAGGACTTCCATCTCGTTGATGTAAGTCACTAATCCAATTTGGATGATCACCAATTATGGAAGACTCCCTATTCACTAATTCCCCGGTGATTTACACAGCGAGAGAGCCAAAATAACTCAGTTAGGAGAGCCAGACTAAAGATCTAAAAGGTCCCTGATTCAATCCTCGGTTTCGGCAGTATGCCTATGGTGATTCCACTTCAAGGTTTCTTTGAAGAATTGTGACACAGTGGTTGTGGCACAACCTCTGTGCCAGAATATCTGTGTTCAAGTCCCCCCCGCCAGTCCCAGAAATGTTATGACAGCCCTCCTCCCTGCAGGTCTTGTGGATTAACTTTTATTTTGTTTTACTCACTCACGTAATGTGGGTGTTGCTGGCTGAACCAGCATTTATTGTCCATCCCTAGCTATCCTTGAGAAGGTGGTGGTGAGGTGTCACTTTGAACGCAGATCCTAGGAGTGAGTAAAAAGGCAGGATGATTCAAAATAGCTACATGGAGGAGAGTGTACAAAAACATTTCTGTTTATTCATGGTTCATTCTAAGGGGGCATCACATCTTTTGACCATTCTATAGCCGTCAAAAACTTATTTTACAGGTGACTGACTCCTGACCACTGTTTTAACATATTAGGAAAGGTCTTGAATTCATCTCAGTGGTCACCTTTAATTTTCTCCTGGGAGGAATTATAGAATGTGTTTTTCAAATCTATTCCCCTTAAATATTAACTGAAATAAACTCCAACCTAGTTGATTAAGAAATTAATTCCAATTATCAGCTGTGGCTCAATTTATCCACAGTGAGGTTGGCATTGGAGATCCTACAATTTTCAGTCTCCCAAGGGAGGAAAAAAAGACAAGTTAGCCAGAAAGAAGCAGCGACTCTGAGAGAAATCACATGACTGAAGACAATCATGTTTCACTGTACATTACCCAATCATTAAATAGCATTCACTGTGAATAAACTCAAGGAGGACTAAATAATCCTGTACTTAAAGCTAAACTCCAAACTCCATTTACACAGCATCTGTAACCGAGTGAATTGTGCACCATTGCATCATGGAAGAATAATCAGACAAAAATAAATATATCAAAGAGATATCTAAAACCTCTGTCATCAGAGGCACGTGTTAAAGAGTGTCTTGACAGAAGAGGAGGTGGTTTGCCAAAGCAATTTCAGAGCTTAGAACCTTGACAGATCAAGGTACTGGTGAGGGAAAGGAAGTGTGGTATGAGCAAAATGTTAAACCTGCTCTGAATTTGCAGATGTTACCTTTCTGCCACAAAGTTTTAGGATGAAGTGTGCAGGCATTGAGCCAAAATCTCCTCTTGATTGTCTAGATTGCCCCTTGCTTAAATTTTGCAGGGCCTTACAATTGAGACACATTTGTCTGCAGCATGCAAAATATATGTCAAAGATTTAATGCATTGAATGCAAAGTATTCTGGGTTGTTCTGAGGCCGCAATCAAAAAAAGGTTCAAGTATTATTATATTTCTGCTCTTGCTTGGCCTATTGCTAAGGTTCTTCCTAAGTCTCCTGTCTGAAAACATTCGCCTTTGTCCTCATACTTTCAAATTCACAGTTCACTTCTGATTGTCCCTGCAATAATTCTCATTTCTCATTTCATTTATTTTACTGAAAGTTGTCTTAGCACAGAACAGATCCCAAGGATGAAAACACTTTAAATGTGTTTTTTTTAAAATTAGCCATCTCAGGAGGAGAGCAGTGAAATCATTGGAACTAATGTATAATAAAACACTGCAACATCATTGCACCCAGTGCTGAATAATTACATAGTTCTTTATATAGCTATAATTATTTACACACAACGCATCCTAGGAACCTGTAAAATACAGCCAATACTCTATTCATACCACTCATCATAAATCACTGACGACTGATGTCTAAGACATCAGGTGACCCCAGTTTTTTAATTGATAAATCTAGAAAGATAATTTCCATTGATCTATCTTCGAAAGCTTTTGTGTTTAAAACAGTCCTCAAAAGGAACAAAGTCTATATCCTGTTTTGTAATCTAAAATGTGTAGCATACAGTTAAATAGATGAAACACAAACATACACCTTGCTGAAAAGTACTGACTTGTGAAACATTTTCAGCAAGTGTTTTCCAGTGATCAAGAGTGAAAACACAAGGTGTAGACAGAAGTTTCACCAATAAACTGGAATTGAGAACAGGACAACCTAGCTATGAACTGTGATTGAAAGCTATGCTGTTATATCACAATTAGCCTGTAACAGAAAAACTTCACAGCAAAAGGCCTTGTGGTGCAGTGTTAGTGTCCCTTGCCTCTGGGCCAGAAGGCTTGGGTTCACGTCTGACCTGGAGGTGTGCCACATGTCCAAACTGGTCAATTTTTGGAGAAATATTCCAGAATTCTTGACAGGTGACAACAAGGGAAGGAAAAATGTAGACACCAAGTCAAGGAAGGAGCAATTGAGAAGCACAACCAAAAAGCTGCGTCAAAGAAGTAGGAATTAAGAGAGGCCTTTAAAGGAGGAAAGATTGGTGTAGGGACCAAATGACAAAGGGGACAGATGTGAGGGAGGAAGGTGCTCCACAAGCTGGGGTCCCAGGAATGGCGAGTGTTGAGGACGTTTAAGGATTAGAGAGAACAGAAACATGGAGCAGTGAGGCTGTGAAGGATTTAGAGATGATGATGAACATTTTCAGTGAGATCACAGATGAAGCGTGAGTGGATAAAATAGTAAATAAAAACTGAAAGAACTGCGGATGCTGTAAATCAGGAACAAAAACAGAAGTTGCTGGAAAAGCTCAGCAGGTCTGACAGCATCTGTGAAGAAAAAAATCAGAGTTAACGTTGCGGGTACATGAAATGTTAACTCTGATTTTTTTCTTCACAGCTGCTGCCAAACCTGTTGAGCTTTTCCAGCAACTTCTGTTCTTGAGCCAGATAACATAGTACTTCTTTTGAACTAAAATTATGACATTGTAGATGTTGGGGCACACACAGAACAGGATTACAGCAAAAAGCAGAAAAAGCACACAATTCCTTTCAATATATCACAATAGGAAGGTGTAACAGTAAAACCCTGTGATAAAGCTGCTTTTGTTTCCCAAATTCATGTCTCCTATGCCCAGCAGTGTTGATATGGTAACTCTTAACTAAAGGCAGCCTATAACTATCACTTGGTCCAGTTGATAGCATTCTGATCTCTGGATTAGAAAGGTGTAGAGTTGAACTCTACTCCAGCACTCCAGGCCAAATCTTCAATGCTGCAAGGCTGCAAGTGATCAGTTCTGATGTTAATCTGAGGCCCCAGCTATCTGTTTCAGTGATCCAGGTCAGCACTGAGGATTCAATCAGGCACTGAGTAGAATATGGACTTCTCCCAGATTTCTGACCAACGTTCTTCCCTCAATCATCACTTTAAAAACAGATGAATTTGATCAATTGCTCTTTATGGGATATTGCTCTGGGCAAAAAAGTTGCCACGTGTCATGAACCACTTCCATGACATTTCACAATCTCCGCAGAGCATGTACATTGATCCAACCTGTTTGTATAGGATAAGATACTGCAACAGATAATCTGATTTGGTTGAGGGATTAGTTAGCACAGAAGAACTTCCCTACTCTTTCTTTGATACTTACATTTTTACATCAAAAGGCAAAAAGTGTCTCAATTTCAAGCCATTGCCTCCAATAATGTAGTACTCCTTCATGACATTATCAGAATGTCAGCCTAGATTACTTACTTAAATCGATGCAACGGCCTTTGAATCTGTGACCTGACTTGAGACGTGGGTGTTACCCCACTTAGCCTAGAGATCAGCTAAGTGGAAAATGCAAATTGACATCCTTGTCCTGACACAAAGCTCTTTCTACAGCACCTTGGAGGACAAGAGCAACAGATATGAGAGAATTTCACCAGCTGCAGGTTCCTCTTCTTTTGGCCTGCAATTTCTCACACTGTGCATTAATATCTATTAAAATCATTCGGCAAACTGTTTTCTCAGAAAACTAGATGCAAGCAGAGTGCTCCTTTTACCAAATTACCTCAGCTTGAATTTCTGAGACTGAATTGACTCTCTCACAGAACACTTTCCGTGTTTGGCTCAAAAATGCAATTTCTGTAGCCCGGCAGCAAGTTGGAAACAGCACTCCCCTCTAGGATTCTCAGAGGTGGACTGATGGGTATGAATTTTCCAGGTAGGCAGGGGCGTGTTCAGTCCCTTGCTCTTGGCTTAAACACTTGCTCTTTGACTCAAGGCTTGCTCAACACTCATCATCAGCTCTGCCATGGTGAGAAATAGGCAGGGCAGCAAGCAGTGACATTCATGAGTGCAGTACGCATAGAGGACCACAACATAAACAGACCATGGCATCACACTACGCAAATGCAAAACATCCATCACATTCAGTTAAACAAAATCTGTGGGCACCAGGAGTTAGTTAATGGATCCTATAGTATGAACATCTCCATGAAGGCTCTCGATTACCACTGGGAGATTGAGGGTGAATCCAATAGGTTCCCAGCCATTCCACGATGACTGGTAACCCAGGTGCACTTACGCTACATGGACTGTATAAAGATGACTCACCAGCACCTTTTCAAGGGTAATTTGACATGAGCAATAAATGCTATCTTCATTAGTTTTAATCACATCACAATAATGTTGTTAAAAATGTCAGTAAATCTAACTTGCAAAAATTAGCTATAAATATCCATCCTAAATATAAGGAAATTTGTTCAAGGAAAGTCACATCTTGAAACTTTC